AAAAAAAATGTATTACTGATCCCAAACTTTTGAACTGTAGTGAAACTCATACTGAACTTCCTTTAATGGGCACTTCACTCTAAACTGAAACTGACCTGCCACTGTACCATTCAGACTGTCAGATTAACCTCATCACTCATGTGGTGTATGGATGTGTGTGTTTGTGGTTTGGGAAGTTCACATTCACCCCTTTTTGTATCCGAGACATTTGCCAGAAATCTGTCTATTGTTTTTAATCATTGCTTTTCACATAAAGCAAAATAACCTGTCCTTATGTTTAAACTCTAGCTTTCATCATCATTGTTTAAAGGGGTCATATGATGCGATTTCATTTTTTCCTTTCTCTTTGGAGTGTTACAAGCTCTTGGTGCATAAAGAAGATCTGTAAAGTTGCAAAGACTAAAGTCTCAAATCCAAAGAGATATTCTTTATAAAAGTTAAGAGTTAGCCACACCTACCTAAAACGGCTCGTTCGAACACGCCCCCACATATCTACCACACAAAATAATGTTCTTTTTAGCAGCATCATATGACCCCTTTAAAACCTGAGTCACTGACTTGATTCCTGCAAGGTTTTTTTTTATTTTTATGATCACTCTAAAATAGTAACTTTTCCTCCAGGAGCGAGAACGGCAGAAGTGGGACGCCTTGAACAAGAAAATAGAACAAGAGAATGAGCGAAAGAAAAAGACTGAGGAGGAGAGACGAAAGAAACAGGAAGAAATTAAAAAGTGGGAAGTTTCTTTTCTTAAATGTGACCCTGGACCATAAAACCAGTCTTAAGGGTCAATTTTTTGAAATTGAGATTTATACACCATCTCAAAAAAATACAATTTCGAGGGAACAATCGACAATTATGATTTTTGTCAAAATCGTGCAGCCCTACTTTCCAGTGATGTATGGTTTGTTATGATAGGACAATATTTGGGCGAGATACAACTATTTGAAAATCTGGAATCTGAGGGTGCAAAAAAATCAAAATATTGAGAAAATCATCTTTAAAGTTGTCCAAATGAAGTTCTTAGCAATGCATATTACTAATCAAAAAAAAAGTTTTGATATATTTACGGTTTAATATCAGTAAAATTACGGTATATTATGGACTTAATATCCGAAAGATTTTTGGCATAAAAGAAAAATCGATAATTTTGACCCATACAATGTATTGTTGGCTATTGCTACAAATATACCCCAGCGACTTAAGGGTCACATATGCGTTTGCCATTGATCGATATGGTACTATTCAATAAATCAGAATTATTAATGCAAGTGTGAATGCAAATCAGGACTCAAAAGTGAATTCTGTCCGCTTTAGGAAGCGGGACGAGCGTTTGAAACGGGTTGTTGAGGCTCGAGTGAAAGGTGAAAAGGAGAAGGAGCAAGAAAAGAAAAAGAAGATCGAAGAAAAGATGGCACAGCTGGAGAAGAAAAATGACATGGTACTGAAGAAACCCGCACTAACTTTCTAGTGTTAAGTTGGAGTGTTTAATTAAAGTTTTTCATAAGCTCTATGGTGTTTCTCTCTCTCTCTCTCAGCTGCGTGTTGAGCGGTTGGCTGAGGAGAAAGCCAAGAGGAAGGTGGCCACTAAACGACAGGAAGACCTGGAGCTGCGCAAGAAACAGGAAGAGGCAGCCAGACAAAAGAAACTTCAGCAAGTTGTAAGTCAACCTCAGCAATCAAAGTGGAGAGTCCATGTTGAAAGAAATTCAGCGTAGGCGATGGATGACTTCAACAAATAATGAAAGTGTACTTTACACACACTGTATATTTATTTTTTGCAACAACTTTTCAGTCCAATAGCAAATAATATTTAGCCTAATATGATAAATGTATTTTATTTATAGATTTACGTTTTATAAAAAACATTTATGTCTCATGCTCACTAAGGCTGCAATTTTTTTTTTTAGTTTAGTGAACAGTAATATGAAATATTATTACAATTTGAAATAGAAATCTAGAAATGTTTTTACTGTCACTTTGGATCAATTTAATGCATCCATGAATAAAAGTGAATTTTTTAATTTATTTTCATTTATACCGATCCCAAACTTGTATAATTTATTGATTTCGTTTTTTGTCGCTAATTGTAGTTCATATACTTAACCGTTTTAATCGTTTATATACTTGTCGTTTTCTTCAGGAGGAAGAGGAGCGGCGACACCAGGAAATGCTGGCCAAACGCAAGGCTGAAGAGGAGCGAGAGAAGGCCCGCAAACTGGCCGAGGCCACCCGCGCTCTGGAACTGAAGAAGGAACAAGAGCGGGAGAAAGAGAAGGAGCGGGAACGCGAGCGGGAGCAAGAAAGACAGGCTGCAGCTGAGAAGTTGGTGTTAATTTTTCGTGCATGTTTAAAATGAAACAAGGACATTTTAAAGATACTAAATATGCATGTTTGTGTCTCGCAGAGAAAGACTAGAGAGAGAGAAGGCTATCGCTCTTCAGAAGGAACTGGAGAGAGCAGCCAGAGAGAAGGAGAGGAGGGAGATGGAGGAGAAGAGGAAGATGGTGAGAATTCTGTTGTTTGTTATCCAAATGACAGTAGATTGTTGCTTTTTCTGTTTCTGTCATGTGGAATGTCATTGGTCCAAAATCAAGCTCCTTGTAACTATATATTAAACATCTGATGTCTTCTGCTTAACTGTGATTATTGTTTTCAATAAGGACAGAACAATGATCGACAATTATAGAAGATGTGTAGCACCTGCTTAGTACCTGACACTTGTGTTACATAACGATCCCAAAATCTTATCAAATTTGTGTTCCTTTAACAGGAAGAGCAGAGACAGGCTGAAGTGGAGAGGGAAGCCCAAAGGAAATGTGCTGCTGCTGCTGCAGCCTCAGCCCCGGCGCCCCCTACAGTTACGGCACAGGTAAAGTCTGTTTGTGTTTGTTTTTGTTTTTTTAAGTATTATTTATGTACTCTTATAGTATTTAGTCATTTTAAATTAGCTATATATATATATATATATATATATATATACATACATATAGATTTATATTTATTTTATTAAAAAAAAAAATTTATTGTGCGTTTGTGCATATATAAACTGTTTTTATTCATACATTTTATATTTGATACATTCTAAATCCATTTTAAATGTTTTTGTAAAATTAACAGGTCTCTGCCGCAAAAACACATGCAGCTAATATGCTCAACACAACTATAACTAAGAGTTCAGCTCTAAACATGACTGTAGATATTGAGGTAAACACCTTTGCTTTCCCAGTTCTTTCCATGCCTGTTCATTTTTGTTGTCCTAAATGCTTAGTATTAAATAATATACATATACTAAAGCTCTCATTCCATCTCCATAGAGCTCTGTTCTGAAAACTCCAGTTGGGAAAGGAGCTGCTCACAATAAGACCATAGATCACGGAGCTGGACTAAACGTGACCGTGGACATTGAGGTGAGGTCACGGCAGCAGTTACGTGTCTTTTTCCCTTGCTGAAGGAGGGGAAATGTTGGATAAAATTACTAAGCACAGAATAGTTCCCCGAGAAGGAAAGCGATGAAGACTTAAATTTCCATTTGGATATTTTTTTCCTTGTAATATAAGCCACTGACTACTTCTAACTTAAGATTTTTCGTTTGCTTAGAAACACACAAACCAATCTCAGATGTCTGGAACAGCTGGTTTCTGACCCCATCTCTTGTTTTATATTTCACAGCAGTCTCCACAGTCATACCAGATCACCCCTAAGGGCCAGAAAGTGACTGTTTTAATGAATCCTGAAGATTACGGAATGGACCAGAACAGTGATGATTCAACAGATGATGAATCTGCGCCCAGAAAACCCATCCCATCCTGGGCTGAGGGTATGATGCTTCTTGGCAACTACTGGAAATGGTTTTTTTGTAGTTACAGTTCATGTTATGTTCTATCTGAGCACTGGTCCACATGGTTTTCACTGAATTCTGATTTGAACATTTTTGGATATACCATTGTAACTTTTAGTATGAACTATCAGCTCATGTTTATTCTGTGGTATCTACACCATTGCTATTCTATTATCCTGATGTGATGTGATGCGTGTTTTGTGCAGGTATGCAGTTGCAGCAAGCCATCATGAAGCACTATTACAATCCACCGGATCTCAATTCATATTTCGGAGAACCTGAACCGCCCAAACTGGAGGCGATCTTCAGGCAGACCAAGCCTCGCTTCTTTAAACGCACTAGCTCTGCTGTCTGGCATTCTCCACCACGTTTGGGAAATCTGGGCAATTAATAAGCAGATGTATTTTTTTTCCCCCTCTACTTTTATTCTGTCGTCTTTTTTATGTTGTTGTCTTTTATACTCTAAGCTCACTTTAATAAAGCCTTTTAAAAATATATATGTAAGTAGGTTAGATTACACAAAAGAAGATGGGGTTTGATGCCAGTTTTCTGCCGCTGAGGGCAGATTGGGATGGGCTCGGTTTAATTTACTTGCTTTTTTTTTTTTTTTTTTATGGGACTACTTTGTCACCCATGTATTTAAATATAGCGTCACATGTAATAAATCTGGAAATGTACACAGGAGCTGCTACAAATGGGATGGTGATGTAGAAAATATGGGGATGGCGTTTGACTACAAAATTCACTTCACGAAGAGAGTCAGAATTAATCTGGACTGTTAATAAAAGGTGTAATTTCTAAATGTCTGTGCAATTATTTTTAGTAGTTTGTCATGAATGTAATTTGAAAAGTCTGAAAGCTAAATCTGGGTGCATCCGTTACAGTTCTTTGACTAAAAAACCTGAAGGAAATTGAAAATCGTAAATTTAATTCATAGCATGTTCTAATTTCCTTAGTCATTCGTGCCACACAGTACTGTTAGAGTTTGTTGTAATTTAGGGAAGTATTTTTCTAGTACAAAAAAAAAAAAAGCTTAGCCACAACTTTTTCTAACTTGATTATTTACATAAAGAGCCAATTAGCCTTTTTGAGATTGACTGTTAGCTTGCATTATAAAATCAACTTTTAAGTATATTTTCAAATATTGAACCGATTTCTGTAATTTAATTTAACAGGATGGAATGGAGTGAGACAGACAACATTATACCACAAACATTAAGAACATCATGAAACTAAAATATTTCTAATTAAACTGGTTCGTATGGCTCCAAATCGTCACATTTGCTCAAACTAGACTAGATAACTTCAAAATCACCTTCACTAGTGATTATAACCCAGATTGCACAGGTAAGTGCAAGATGTCTGTTAAAGATCGCTGCATCTGCTGTGTACAAACATCTGCTAGATGTCTTTAAGATGTCAGTTTTACATGCATTCTAAATCATAAACATCTTCTAAACGTCTATTTGACATCTGATAGGAAACGTCCTATAGACATATTGCAGATGAGCAAACACTAAAAAAATGTCTTGCAGATGTAAATGCAGACTGCATTTACATCTGCAAGACATTTGATTTTTTTTCCTATTTATTTTCTATCTTGAAACGGGTGAACTTATTCAATAAAGACATGATGGGACATGGAAACCCACTGCAAACTTGAATGATCATCAAAAATGTGACCCTGGAGCACAAAAGCAGTCTTAAGTCGCTGTGGTATATTTCTAGCAATAGCCAAAAATACATAGTATGGGTCAAAATTACAGATTTTCTTTTATGCCAAAAATCATTAGGATATTAAGTAAAAATCATGTTCCATGAAGATATCTTGTAAATTTCCTACCGTAAATATATCATGTATTATCATTATGATATGCATTGCTAAGTACTTCATTTGGACAACTTAAAGGCGTTTTTCTCAATATTTTGATTTTTTTTTTTTTTTGCACCCTCAGATTTTCAAATAGTTCTATCTCGGCCCAATATTATCCTCTTCTAACAAACCAAACATCAATGGAAAGCTTATTTATTCAGCTTTCAGAAGATGTATTAAACTCAAAATTGACCCTTATGACTGACTGGTTTTGTGGTCCAGGGTCACAAATGTGTACTTCTGGCTGTAAAGTGTTTTGATAAACAACTGAAAGGATATGTTGAGAAAAAGCATTTGCTAAATGAATAATTATGTTAGGGTCTGCCCAGAATCCCCAGGACAGGTCTTTGTTGTTGGTTTTTTATTTTATTTTATTAATTGTATATGCTGAACAATTAACATGCCAGGACAGTTCTGGTAAAGTGTCAGAGGAAGGCCAGTACGCATGCGCAGATGGCGGCAGTTACTCATCTCGTGAGCGCGCACGCCAGTGGAAAGTTTCATCGTCACTGACGTCGTCGCGCAGCCAAGGGACAACAATCACCCAAGAGAACGAGCTGAACTCAACACGCAGGTACGTTAACGATTAAAAGACGTTTATTATTAGAGTAAACAGAGCTGGTTGTGTTATGATTGGTCACTGGTTTATTGTAGCTGCTCGTTTTGCATTATAATAACAGGTGCAGTTAACGGCCACACGCCTAATATAGTCCCGCTATTTAAAGCATTTGTGAATTTACGCCCGACTAGCGGCCTGATATTTTTTATATTTATCGTAAATTAGCATTTCGACACTGCACATGTTTACATATCATATACAATACATTCACTCACTCACTCACTCACTCATGTTTTGAATAATTACGTAATGTTGTATAAAAGGAAAATCAAATAAACGTCGTGTTGTCATTGGTGATATTATATTGAATTTTGTTTGATATTGTCGAATATATTGAGTATTTAGATTTAATTCTGTACAGCGCATCTTGACGTCGAGCCATGAATAACGTTAGATGTCGGACATGGCCTCCGTACAATGACAGAAATACACGCATAACATACAAACTACTGTTTTCATTCCTGTCAGTACACGTTTCGTCACGCAGGTACCAAGATATTAAGATGAACGTGATAACTGTACTGTTTTAGATTGTTAAACGAGATAATTATTGTGTAATAATACAGGGTGACGCCACACCTTTTTTTTTTCTTTACATAAATCTGTGCACTGTAGATGTGACCGGGGCTAGTTGTCACGCTTTTGCTCCAGTTAATTTTTGTTAGGATTGGATTATTTCTGTAGAGACACAAACTACAAAGTCTTGGCTATTCTGAGTAATAAAAAAAAAAAGGGAAAGAAAGAAATGGTTCAAGTTAATGCTATAGCAGGGCATGTTGTCACAATGTATGGGGAAAATATAAAAGACAAAAAAAATTTGACCAACAAATAGTGTAATTAATATATAATTTCTAACATTTTAAAAACAAGTGACAACTTGCCCCACCCCAACATTTATGGAAAATGCCCTTGTACTGAGATCATAGTTCAGTTAAAGTCCTTAATTTTCTTTCAAATCAGTTACTTATGAAAATGTTAAAGATTACATAGGGGGTTACTTCTGAATATTTTCACACACACCCACATTAGGGTTGGGTACCGTTCACATTTTAACCGGTACGGTACCGGTATCGGTACCTGAATTATCGGTGAAAATCAAATGAATTTTGCTGAAAATCAAATGAAGGCATTAAACATTTATTTTAAATCAAATGAAAATTAAACCCTTTTATTTTTTGGCAAACAAACTGAGGTTTACTGTTGAAATGAATACATGGAAGAAAATTGTGTGATTCCTTTAAAAAAAAATTTAATAGGCTAATAATTGTATTATTTTTTTCTACAATTAAGTGATTAATCTAGTTGTAATATTTATTTTTATAATTTAATTGTTTTATTCGAATTAAGTGGCAGTGGCTACTTTTGATTTATTCGTCCAAAATTGACGAATTCCGTGGCATTCCGCGCTATAGAGTAAATTACGTTTTTTATGAATGGACTCCGCGATCCCGTCCACGTTTTCTCAGAAACCATATGGCCCTAGAAATGTAACCACACTTCAGAACATTTCAGCTTGCCCTGTGTGTTGTTTAAACGAGTTGTTTAAACAACACACGTTGTTCGGTACCCAACCCTAACCCACATACATATCTAATTGATTTCTTTCCCAAATTGCATTGACTGCTCTAAAATATGAGACACCAATGTTTCAGGAGTTTAGGACACAGAATAAAACACGTTTATACAATAACTGTTTTATTTCCTATTTGGGTTTATGTATATGTTTTTTTTTTTTAGATGAACTGTTAGATGCACGTGTTTCCTGTCATAGCTATGCAAAGATTTGATTTCAAAAACAGTATCATAGCTATTAAACTATATCTTGTTATGATTTTAAATCTGTATTTAACCTCAGAACTATCTCAACGTAAAAAGAGCTGCTGAAGTCTGATTTTGTGGTGACTGTGCTTTAAAATTCAATTATTATAATCTTAATTCAATTGATGAAGGATTTTGAAAGTCTGACAGTAATCAGTGTTGAGTCCTACTGTAAGGTTAACCCTGCCTGCTTTAAATGTTTCAAAATGATTTACAGTTGAAAAAAAAAATTTTGAAATAAAGAATTTAGAAATGTAATCAAATGTTAATCAGTTACATTACTTTAGTAAAGTAATTGAAATAGTTACACTACTCGTTTAATTTTAAATAGAGTTACTTTAACCAGTAATTTGTAACCTATTCAATTTCCAAAGTAACCTTCCCAACACTGCGTATACAAAACATGTATAAACTGTGTAAATATTTTGGTCAATGAAGACCTTTCTGTTTCTGTTTTTCTCAATCTCTCTCCGGACTTTCTGTCAGTGGTAATTTGTGGGGATCACACATTACACAACTTTTCTTTAGGAACAATTGCAGACAACTCCGCCTTTTCTACAAACTACGTTTCACAACCAATCACACGTGAGAATTGAAACGGGAAACTGTTCTCATGTGAGAATGGATTTATTTCTGTCAAAAACAGTAGGCTGCAAAAAACTCGCAATCTAAGTTGTCTACACTGATTTGCAGTGAAAAATAAAAATAAACAAAGTAGAATATGAAGGAAAGAGAATGGTTGCTTGCTGGTTTTCTGTTGCACATCTATTATGACTCCTCCTCCTGAACTTTCCCTTGCCCTGTATCGTCATTTCCAGTCAAAACACTTCACAAAACACTTGCAAGACTGTGAGTTGCCGACAGTTCCAGATATTTAGCATGCCAAATATCTCACGGGCATCGGCGCTTCTCCCAGATCACGTCTTTGATAACATGCACTACGCAATTGTCACTCACATGAACGAGCACAGATTTTTCCTCAGATTTCAAGCATTTATCAGCAATTTCCACTAAACTGTTGGCGAGTGAAAATCTGGGCTAAAATCATGCAATGTGTGCCTGGCATAAGTGACACATCTCATTTGACAATTTTGAAAATGATCTCTTCATTGAACCTCTCTTTCTTTTTCAGAAATGGGTCGCTTAACAGTACTGTTACTCTGTCTGGCTCTTATGGTGTCAGTTTTGGCAAGACGAGGGAGTGGCGGTAAAGGCGGATTCAGCTGGGGCAAAAGTGGCGGAAGCTCAAACAAAGGTGGAAGCAGCACAGGAAGCCGAGGTAGCAGCAGCAGTAGCAGCAGCAGCAGCAATAAAGGCACTAAATCACGTGGGACACACTCGTCCCCTGGAGACTATCCTCGGCAACCTCAAGTACCAAAGCAGAATCCACCGCCCTACCCTGGTACTGGAGGCGGGTATCCAGGGCAGGGCAGATATCCACCAGCAGGCTCTAACCCAGGTCAAGGATACCCTAACCAAGGTAGCTACCCAGGACGTGGTGGCAATCCGGCCCAAGGTGGCAATCCGGCCCAAGGTGGAAATCCGGCCCAAGGTGGCTATCCGGCCCAAGGTGGCTATCCGGCCCAAGGTGGTTACCCGGGCCAAGGTGGTTACCCAGCTCAAGGTGGTTATCCACAAGGTAACTACCCAGGGCGTAGTGGTTACCCAGGACAAGGTGGTTACCCAGCACAAGGTGGTTACCCAGGGGGAGGATCATATCCAGGAGCAGGTTCGTACCCCAACAGGTACCCTGGACAAGCCGGAGGATATGGAAATCCTTACCCAGCTGGAGGCTCTTATCCAGGTTATCCAGTCCGTGGAGGTTCCAGCCCTAACCAGTTTGGTGGAGGTTTTGCAGGAGCAGGTGCAGGTGCAGGTGCAGGTGGATATCCAGGAGCGGCACAATATCCTTACTGGAACCCCAACAACAAAATCATGAGCCCAAGCTACGGTGGCAACTACGGTAGTTATGGGTATGGCGGCAGATCACCTTTCGCCCAGTCAGTGCAGAGCATGGGTATGGCCCCTTCAATTCAATCAAAGGGGTTTGGCAAGCAGGCGATTTTGGCTGCTGGGGCTGGGGCGGTGGCTGGTATGGCTCTGGGATATGGCCTCGGAAGTTTCCCCCGCCCCCGTTTCAATTTCCACAACCCACAGGAGGAATACTACTACAATAACTACATGTACAAACGTTACGGCCAACCTCCCCCTGACGGTAACGTGAACATGAATGGGAACACTAACTCTCAAGGTCGAAGCCCAGGCGATGCAGGATCGACCTCTGCCGGACAAGGAAACGTTAACCCTCATGACATCTTCCAAAATCCTCCACCGCAGTCCTATGATAGCTTCATGGACAAGTGTATGAAGAGGACAGACTTGCTTCGAGAGAAACCGGAAGGAAGATCGAGGAGATCCACTGACTTAGTTGAGGCTCAAGCAGCAGAAGTAGGCGATGATCCTACTGGTGCTCAAGAAAACACCACAAGCAACAACAGCACTGCAGAAAGAGACATATCCGGAACCTCTTCATTTGTAACATCAAGCCCGCCCGAAACACCCAGTCAACCTCAAAAGCAGACCCAGGAAAGAAAAGCAGAAGCTGATGATGACGATGACGATGACACAGTTAGCATAATGGAGATTGGCTATCCTGTGCTAATTGAGCAATTGAAAGCACGCCGTTGTGTCGAGCTCTACATGGCCTATGCTGAACAGCATGCAGAAAAACAGGTGCAAGATCGCAGTAACATAGATGATGGATCCAGCAACAGTAGTGGTGACATACCTGGACCCTTCAGCCATGGAGTTATGCTACTCTTTACTAGCATTCTGTCGCTTATCTTCCGTTCCCTTCTACACTAAAATTCTGGAAAAAGTTACACACATAGCCATTGAGTCAAACTGAGAAATGGACCGTTCACACCCATCACGTTATCTGAGGAATTTGTCTAGGCTGTTTAGAGACTTTGGACAAGGTATTCTCGAAAGACTACTTGAAGATTCAACAGAAAGTACTGACACTTCTCACAATGACTCCTGTATATTTACTCTACTAAATTGCAACATGAGCCACCTAACAATTTGTCATGAGCCCACATCTCAAAGCAATTTCCAAAGGAGCTAAAAACATTTGCATACATTTACTTTTTAGAGTGTTCACATTCCATCACTGCCACGTTCTTGCATGTGTTTTGGTGAACACTAACTTTTCCTCCAAGACAGCGTAACGCATGTCGCATGAACCCTTTATTATCTTCAGTTTAAACAAAATTGTGCATGGCATTGGCTTTTGACTTATTGTTTTCCACTGGCAACAGCAATTACAACTAACCATGATTATTTTGTTGTAGAATAGAATGATGGCTTCCAGTTCTGTTCTCATGGCAGTTCTTTTGAGAACAGTTCTGTTCTCTGTTCGGATGGCAAACCTATATGTGTAGTAAAATTGTGTTGTAGTGTTAACTTTGATTGTTTGGACTGTTAACTTAGGGATTAACTTTCTACTGATGTATTTATATCTTTTAAATTATAATTATAAACATGGTTTTTCACAGTCCTCCACTGTTAGCTTTGTTATTTTTACTTTTTAGGGGCCATTCACAAAGAATGTGTTTTTGTATAAACATAGACTAGGCGGACATCTTTAAACACTGACTCTTTTGAAGTAAAAACATAAACACTGCATTTTTAAAATGCAGTTATCAAATTAAAAAACAATTTGAAACACACACACACACATCTCCAGACCTTGTGTTTTTATTTCATTCCACCTTCTCTGCGTCTCATGTTTTTAAACGTAAAAACACTCTCTGTGTGAATGGCTCCTTACTGAATGTTTTTGTGATCATAACTGTTTGGTTTTTAACTCCGTATGTGTACGATACACCTTGCATGTCAGTTTAATTCATATCAGATGTACATGTAATATAAGACTAATGCAGGTCAGCTCAATGAAATAAAACAGCATTTTATATAAAGCTGGATCTTTATCAGTTGCTTGGTGCTGTGGTTTCTCTGAATATTAGTGCTGAACATTCAAGTAGATTATCAACCCAGCTTGGCACTTTGCTAAATCATTTATCTAGAAGAACTGTGATGACCAGTAGAAGGCAATGCTTAACGCCTTTATTGTTACTCAACTGCATATGTATTGTTATGCCTTTGAGATGTTGTGAATGTTGAAAGTGTGTATAATGTTACCATCACTGGGATTAAAGTGATTAAATGCACCTTAGTTCTGTGTCTGCCTATTTCCTTTTGATATTTTTACAAAAGCCATAGGATTAAATGTTTTTGCCCTCATTCTTGAAAACCCTAAATTTGGCCCAGTGTTTGTTCCAGTTCATGTTAATGTTTTGTTTACTTCTTGTTTACAGATGTCACTTGATGTCCATTGTAGAATCTGGTGCCTGAAGCAAAACTAGTTTTTCCTATTATGGTGTCAGGTAAGCTAAATGTTCACCGGTGTGCAATGTGTTGTGATAGTTACTCTTGGACGTTTTGTTGTTTTTGTCTTTGATATCCATTCAAGTGTACTTGATATACTCATGTTGACACATTCACAACTTAATTATACCTTAAGCGGAAAACTGTGAGCCTGTTGTGGTTATAAGACTATGAGGAGTGACACAATCCAAATACAGGACTAATTGCGTTAAAACATGCAAAGGTGAAAGCTGTCAAAACCATTTATCATCATTTATTACCGTGTTTTGGAATACAAACTAACCCTTGGGACGAAGACTTCAGCACAACAGTGGATCACAGGAGATGAAAATCCCTTGTTTGGTTATCATTACTGTGGTTAATCAGGCAGATACACACAAAAACAAACACAATATGTTTCTGTTAATAATGTAATTTGAGATATCACACATGCCACTGAAATCACACATGAGCAGGGGCGTAAATTTCGTCAAACAGTTGGGGAGGGACAATAAACAAAATTTCTCAAGAGCAATTTTTGAAGGGGACACAAATAATACAGCCATAGGCGGAGGGTGAACCAACTCCAGGGTAAGGCTAAAAGCAGCCAAATCTATTAACTACAAACATAAACCTGTCTTTTTAGGCAAGAACCAGACATGGGTGTCATCATGTAGGCTAATAAAATATGTTTAATGTGACTGAATTTGTATTTAGTGTGATTACAATTTAATTAAAACATTAGAAATGGATAATTATATAATATTTCCTTCCCACGGTTATTCAAACAGCGAATAAATTATTTACAGAAATGACATTATCACTAACTTTGATCTATAGCACTCTCAAAAAACAGAACTATCGTTATAATCACTGAAGCTGTACTACACGAAATGAATCCCTTACTTACATTGTACGTACATCTGCGCTTTGTTGTTTATGATGAGAGAATTCAACAAAGCTGATGAGTTTCAGCGATGACTCAACTGAACGCCTCTGATTGGCCAATGCATTCCTAAGCTCAACAGAATCGTGTGTGATTGATTATAATGTGCAACACTGTAAAAACGCCTCAAATGAGATACGGTGCAACATGAGCAAATCTTAATTTAATGCGCAGTCGGCACTTTCTATTCATTTACACGTTGTTAGCAACAGACGTAATAGATTTAATTTGTTTGTGCAGGGGCCTTTTTGTCCAATTTAGTGGCATTTTTGCCCCAAGACCCCGTGGTCAGCCTTACACACGCTCCGCCTATGAATACAGCTAAAATTGTACTTGTAAGGATATGTATACACAGAGGAAAGCCTTACTACTATTAGTGTAGCGGGGAGACTGTGCCAAATTAGACAACTTCAAGCTGTCGTGGTCGTTGTAGACATTACTATCCGTCACAGTGTTGCCAAGTCCGCGGTTTTCCCTTGGAATTGGGCTACTTTAAAGGGGTCATATGATGTTGCTAAAAAGAACATTATTTGGTGTAATGAAATGTGTTTATGTGGTTTAAGGTTTAAAAAACACATTATTTTCTAAAGAAGGCTTGATCCCCCCTGATGGACGTCAAAACTAGACGTAGGGGGGGTCAGATAGACAGATGGCTAGCCTACTCGTAATATGGAGATTTACTTGTAAATATTAATATGTATTATATAGCCCTGGCTGATTTTAAAATGTAATTTTGGCAGCCCCTGAAATGGGTTGACATTAGGCTACCTGAGCGGTTGAAGAATACGCTACAGCGCTCATTCAAAGACGTGCATTTATTTCTTGGACGGAGCAAGAACACCTAAAATGCATGTGTAGATTCAATCGACTGATAAAGTTTACCCTCTTCAAATTGATGTGGCTAGCCTACTCGTAATATGGAGATTTACTTGTAAATATTAATATGTATTTATATAGCCCTGGCTGATTTAAAAATGTAATTTTGGCAGCCCCTGAAATGGGTTGACATTAGGCTACCTGAGCGGTTGAAGAATACGCTACAGCGCTCATTCAAAGACGTGCATTTATTTCTTGGACGGAGCAAGAACACCTAAAATGCATGTGTAGATTCAATCGACTGATAAAGTTTACCCTCTTCAAATTGATGTTGAACTGAATTTACGGAGCAAACTATTTGCTAAAATAACCATTAACAGCAATACAGCGCGGTTCCAGTGTCAGATGCGCGTGAAAGCTGCATGTGTTACTATAACAAACACTGCATGTTTTCTTTCAGAATCATCATTGGCTGGTAGAAATACAAAAATAGGTTACATAACAGTTTTTACATAAAAATGAAGATAAGGTAAAGGTGTGAAAAATTACATTTTAGACACATTGCCAGTAATTTCACAAATGAAAATAAAGCCCTAGGAGAACTGTTGTGTGTCTTTGATCAACACACAGCGGTGTTTCATTAATGAATCCACACGTTTTTAAACGAATCGAGTGAATCAATGATTCAGTGAACCATTCATAAAGGCAGTCACTTGCTTCGTTTCTGAATGAATCAGCTGTTTGAACAAATCGATTGATTGAATGAATGATTGAATGAATCACTTAAAACAGGTATTTGCCACCACCTACTGGCGCTTTTAGTTGTATATAGAGTATCGTTTTTTTTTTTTTAATATAATTTAATATTTCACTATTTATTTGTATTTTTGTATGTTGAATTAAAATATTTATATCTAAAGCTGCTTATATTTCAGCTACTTTTCTGTAATGTCTATTCAGTGTTTTTTTCTAAATGAACATAATGATAACTATTATCTTTAATAATAACTTTATCTTTAATCGGCACATGATGTGGATGTTAATTAATTAATCTAATTAATTAGAGATTAATTTGATTAATTAGATTTTTTTTTTTAAATAATCGCTTGACAGCCCTATTTAAAACATAAAAAATACCCCCCCCCTCCCGGGTAATCAGGGTAATTCGCACCCTGATTAAAGAGAAAATAATCACTTCATCCGATGTTTAAGTGAATAAAATAGCCTTGACAGCCTTACTGGAGTTCCACAACTATTGACTATATGATACTTGATCTGTGCATATTTCTCTCCTGATTCAGACGAGAAAGCAATATTATGGATAGACTAGTAACTAATTTATATATTAAAAATATACGAATGGCTAATTAAGTCAAGTATTTTTTTATTTACTTTTTTGTCATTCGATGAGATCTTTATTATGATTCCGTGTAAATATCAGCCATTAAAATTAGTTCGCACAGGAGAAAGGAACTGCGCAAATTTCTGAGGTGACAGTTATGACCATTATATCAACGTTTTATGAAAATAACAAATTGGAGATAAAACTCAAACATTAATGTGAAGGTTAACTTATATTAGGTTTTAAAAAAAATTAAGAAGAGAGATTGCAGACCCAACGTTCCCGCTCTTCAGATCCCGTTCTTGAATCATGACACGTAAGTGGATTAAATTAAGAAACTACAAATAATGAAATGAAATCAAAATATATCCGGAATATTTGTAATAATTTTTGTAGCTATTGTGTTAATATTCTACATTTTTAGAATATCATTTTATGTCATTTTAAAGCATTAAAATTACATTCAATGGGCACTTTATTTTTCAAAACAAACAAAAAAGGCCCACCACCTGTCTCATTTTCCCCCCAGTCCATTCGTATCCATATTGGCATGGCAAGCAGCATATGAAACACACAAAGCTTTGGAAAGAGACTTCAGATCTCAGAAAACAATCGCAACCATTCAATCATCTCCATTGTTGTTTTTTAGACATTTCCCAGACACACACCCACTGAGGGCTGAAAAAGCATTCACCTGTGCTTAACTTATAGTGATGGTCTTATTCTCTTGGGGGAGGTGTTTTTGCCACCTGTTTTTCCCTTTTCTGTCTATTCCAGTCCACTTGATTTCCCTTCTCCCATTCATAAGAGATTGGGTGACTAATTAAAAGCTTAATTGCACTTACAGTGGAGTCCTGTGTGGCAATAAAGCTAGGATTGTCAATTGATGATTAATCTTGTCAAAACATGCCATACAAAGTCTGGATCCTGTCAGAAGCATTATTCACGCCTGTGTGTTTTGGCCTAGCTCATAAATAAACACCTGGGAAGGTGACCTTTTTTAACAGATCATCAGGGGACATCCTAATGATTAGTGTGGTTAACCAGGCAGAGCAAATGCACACACAGTCACTGATCATAACATTGCCCTGTCTGTCTGTCAAGTTTAGTTTAGATAATCATGGGCACTTATTTCTGCTCCGAATATGATTGTGATGATGATCATGTTAATTGCTTCAGCTGAGCTAATGAATGGTGACCCAGAACACAGTCATAGAGTTTAAGTGACAAATACACATGAATTTGAAAGTTGGAACTACTTTTAAAGTAGATTGATGGATGGGCTTTATGCCAACACTCAAAACCACACATTAGAGGACTTACGTGTGGGATGCAGGACATACTAACAAGTGCAACTTAGAAACATTGCACTAATTTTAAGTGTTCTTAATTTTTTTATTTATGATATAACCTGCTAAACGGGTTTGCTAATAATTTAGGAGGAACAGGAATCTTATGGATGTTGGGCCACAGAGTGCCATCTAAAAGAAATATCTGTCACTGAAAAAATTACATTTTGATCTTGAGGTTTCTGTGACTTTATTTCACACATGTCCATGTTTTCTAACTGAAAAATAAAATGATTATCACACTTTAATTTACATAAGTCCACAAAAACAACAGTAGAATAAAAAAGGACATTCTCTTTGGATACATACAGTGGGTACGGAAAGTATTCAGACCCCCTTAAATTTTTCACTCTTTGTTATATTGCAGCCATTTGCTAAAATCATTTAAGTTAATTTTTTTTCCTCATTAATGTACACACAGCACCCCATATTGACAGAAAAACACAGAATTGTTGACATTTTTGCAAATTTATTAAAAAAGAAAAACTGAAAAATGCTCAGTATTTAGTAGAAGCACCCATTTGATCTAATACAGCCATGAGAGGGGGTCTGAATACTTTCCGTACCCACTGTATATTTAGATTCACAGGAAAAAAATCATCAGTCTTATAGCTTGCACTTGACACAGATGTCACAATCACAATATAATCTTGGCACTTTATATAATTTATAAACAAGTCAGTTCCTAAGAATGTCAAATTAAAACGCATAAGCATTAATACATTTGCCCTATTAAAATACTACTATTTCAAGATACAACAGGCGTCAAGTGGGGGAAAAAAGGACAGGGACATGAAACTTGAAATTGTGTGTTTAGATTCACAAATGTTTACTGAATATTCAAATATATATTTTTAAGTATCTTTTAAAAGTCCTTTTGCTTGAGGTTTGTCACATCACTGCTACATCCTGTCTACAGTCTTCTCCACATTCTGTGGGTTCACTCTGAGAAAAGATTAAATAAGTTCTGCAACAGAGAAATTGTAAAAGGTTAAATCTGGAAGAGCAAAATTATGGGAGAAAATATGGCCATAAGTGAGATTAACCTGGAAAATCAGGAAAAAAGAGGGTGGCACAGTGAGAGGCCTTTCTTTGCATGTTCTCTGTGTGTCTGTGTGAGTTCCCCCACAATTCAAAGACATGCAGGTGAACTGGACACTAAAATCGCCCATAGGTGTGTGTGAATTTGTGTGCGTGTCTGTGTGTGATCTGTTCAGGGTCCCCCGACTGGCCCGAGACGCTGGGAAAGGCTCCAGCCCCCCCGTGACCCTTCAGAGGATAAAGCGAGTTGAAAAAATGGATGGATGGATGGATGGATGGGAAAAAAAAGAAGAGGACTTTACTGAGCAAACCCAACAAGGCCTGCTGTATGTCTCATGGACTCTGGATTTCATTGATTAACAAAAGTAAAGATTTCAATCTGCATTAAAAATGTCATGAATTTTCCAGTCATTCATCATGAAGGATTTCATGTATCAATATATACAGATATAGCTGTTTACTGTAGAAAGACTTTACAAAGATTACATTTTTATTTTCAGGCTTTCAAATATTCCTGGTATTTTCAGATTTCCTGTGAGAAACTGTATGTGTGAGTGTGTGTGATAGATTTACCCTGTACTCTTGTAGCATGCTATTCTCCAGACTTTAATCATCATGGTGCTTCTGAGTGCAGTACAGCCTCTGATGTACAGTAATGGTGTGATGACTGCATTGAGACCCGCCAAAATGCGCAGAGGGTCTGTGTCCTCATTTCTGAACGTATAGCACGTAGACCCCGCAAAATTACACACAATAACATGAAGGAAAAGGGGCAACCACGCGGTCAGAAAACAGTCACTCAGACACGTGCTGAGCATGTACATGAAGTGGTTCTCGTTGCGCAGGGATCTGTTCATCACGATGGAGACAAACACGGACACGTTGATAAAAATGATGGCTGTGGCGAGAATTATATTGAAGAGAAACAAAAGTATGTTCTCGAAACTAGTGAGAGGCAGCACGGTGCCGAGACCCGCACTACTCTGAGAAATATTCATGAGTGACGAGGGTATCAGTGAATGCACACTAGAGAGAGCACAACCATTGATGATAATACTGTATGAATGAAAGCTGATGGTGAGAGCGCGCGAGTGAACTGAGACACGCGTGCGGGGCGTTTTTAAAATGAGGAGGAGGACTGTCTGAGATTCACGTGGCAGGTTTCTGGAAACTTTTTCCATTTTTTCCATTATCTTTGCATAATGGGCGCACATACATAACCAAGATTCCCAGATCGCACACGCACGTCTGCAAGATGTCTGTTAAAGATCGCTTCATCTGGAAAGCATCTGCTGTGTACAAACATCTGATAGACGTCTTTAAAGGGGTCATATGATGTTGCTAAAAAGAACATTATTTTGTGTATTTGGTGTAATGAAATGTGTTTATGCGGTTTAAGGTAAAAAAAAAA